GGTAAAAGAGAACTACACAACACATGTATTACACAGTATTTAAAATGTTGAATAAAATCAATAGTAAACACACGTTTAAAAGCATCAGAACACAACAAATTAATTTAAAAAAACCCTCTCAGACAGCCAGTCAGTAAGGGAAAGCCTGCCTGAAGGGACAATTAATTACTTATGGCTGCTATTACACTGGCAGAGGAGAAGCACCATTAGATTCCTCCCCCACTGTCTATACTGGCAGTATGTTACAAAGCTCTGATTTCCTTATTAGTAAAATGTGATAGTTTTTGATTCTTATTCTGTAAAAACATCCCCTTACTGAACCAGATCAGGTTTGTTCTCTGTCAGGAAAAAGAGTACATCCCTTTTGGAATCCTGTGACCTGAACTTCCTTGCTCTTGGGAAGAAAGAGGATAACAGTGACTCAGGTTTCTAGAAGGTTTGGCCCCTTTTTACTGTTGAAAACCGGCTCCAAGAAGCACAGCCGTGATCCAAGCTTTGTTGTGAAACATTCAGAGCTAGTTTCCTATTGCTCTGCATCATTTTATTACTGTTCAAGACACCATCTGAAGCAACAGCTTAGGGTGTTGATATGGTAACACTACACATAAAGAGTCTGAACCAGACCTGCTAAGAATCATCAAGGCATGCCCGTCATCTTTGCTGCTGCAGAGTTCCACAGCATTGGCTTCGAGAATAGCCAAACCAAACTGGAAAATAGCTTTGATGCCATCAAAGAAGAAACAGTCGACAATGTTAACAGCACTTTCAAGGGGCATGATGCTGAGAAAAAGAGTGAGGAACCACGACAGAGAAATGGAAGCCAACGTGGAAAGGTCTTTAAAATGTTCAGCTAGTTCTGGAAGGCGTTCTTTGATCAGCTCTTCAAATACAGACTGGTCCACCTGAGCACCTGAAATCACACAGAATCAGGTCAAGATGCAGATAACTTTAGCTTTGTAAGCAACTACCATTCATGGCATAAAAGACAATCTGACTTGTCCATCAATATCCATCCGGATGATGAATATTGTAAGAACACAAGTTTTAATTCCCAGTCTCTTGTCAGTCATTTCACAACAATGACCTGCCTAGTTTTCTCAAGGCTTTTTTACTTTAAAAATGTAGGGAAATACATGCATAATGTATGTTCAGGAGTTTCTATTTGAAGATATTTTTGCCCAGCCGGACACTTTGATATAAAAAGCACAGTACTGTACATCCAAATTGTTGAAAGAAAACAGCAATAAGGAATTTGAGCAATGAAGATACAGTAAACAAGATAAATGTATAACATACTGGTATGAATGAAATAGTGTTAGTATTAGTGAACTCATTTCTTTGACGTATACTGGACAAAACCTTGTTGCTTAGCATAGTAAAGTACACTGGAGCAGGTCTACTAAGTCAGTGGGAATTTTGTGAGTTTACTCCTCCGCAGGTTCCATTGATGCAAATGGGCCTGTTCTAACTGCAACATACTATGCTTAAATGAGTCACAGTTAGAGTAGGCCTATTTGAATACATGAAACTCAACAAATCTCCACTGATTCAGTGGGCTTACCCTCATTTGATTCATTATACAAAGCATCATGATTTTGGCCAATATTTCCAGTTTTGACTCCAGGGAAATTCCCAAAAGAGAAATCAACCTTTGGGCTGAAGAATAAAGTTATGGTTTAAGCAATATTCCAAAAACAAGAAAATGCAGACCACATATCTAATCTCTCCCAGTAGAAATAAAGGCACATGAATGCATCTCTCTTGCAAATTAACTTCCATCCCAAGAAACATTCAATCCTGATGAGATTTAAATAAGATCCAACATTTGACTTCCTTATGATGAAAACACATTTGCTTTCCTTGGACTAACCTATTAAGTACAACAAGATTCCCTTCCCCCAAATATGCATCAAACTGAACTGGACAAGTAAAGTTTATGGCTGTATTGCAAATCTGTTGTTTCTTCATGTTGACACTGTCAAAGCCTATGTTTCATTTCAGCTGCTTTAGTATATGGAAGTGGGATTATGCAATCGTGTTTACTTGGCAAAGAAGTTAAGGTAAAAGAGGGGCACACAAAAATACATATATTCTGAGCAAGAAAGTAAGAGTGATTTGTTATTTGAATTTCCTTCCTTTCTGGGATATATCTTCAGCTGTAACTATTTGCTTTAAACTGGAGATTTTTTTTTCTCTTTTGGGAATTTCTATGTCTTAAAAATGTAGGTACTCATATATACCAATGTTTGGGAGATAAATTTTAGATAATTCTTTTCTGACAACTTTAGATAATTTTTAAAAAGCCACTGTTATGTTCCCGCCTGTCACTTGGTTGTTTCACCAAGCAAAGGGCACAAGCTGCCATCGGCTGATTACATCAACATTATTTATTATTAATAATAGAGCTCCAGGCAATGTGTCATTTTAAAAAGAACCAAACAGAAGTTGTTTATTATTACAGGTGATGAAGATACAATCAATGTCTTTAACTCTTAACAAAACATCTTATTTCATCTGCTCTCAACTGTCAACTCCCTCTCTCCACCAAACTCCAAAACCATCAATCCTCAAATCTAAAACTCTTAATATTCTCATCTCCAATCTAATCTCTCTCCTCCTCCTGCACAGACTCTTATATCTTGTGACTCCACCTCTCTAACACGCTCATTGGTCCATGCAGATGACACATTAATATTCATGACCTGGGCAGACGCTACAGTCACCATGTAAAAAAACAAAACGAAACGAAAGTCAAGAGCAACGTACCCTCTAATTTTCAGCACTGCTGGGTGGGACTTCGCCCCTGTGTGCTTGCATGGCCTTGCCCCCCATGTGCACATGGTTCTGTTGCGACGGGAACCAAAGGGGTTGAAAACTATCACTGTGCAGAGGAGGAAGAAGGCTGCACAGAGGGAGGCGGAGTCCCGTATGCGCACAGCTTAGAGGGAACCTTGATCAAGAGCAGCATGTTTTATAAACAAGTGGGATCGATAAGGAAACCACATTTGTGTACAAGGAAGAAAGAGGTGCTTTTAATCCTCTGTATCAAAGAGAAATGTGTATGTACTATAAACAATTTTTCACAAATCTGTCCCTCTAACTATTGGGTGTCCTACTCAAAGCTTTTCCCTGGGAAACATACAGTATTTCAGGACCAGTCATGTTCTACTAAAAGCCAAGGGAAAAGAAAATCATAATTTTAATCCAATAATTGCCAGTCTAGATTCTACACTTGGGAAACAAACCCAAGCAGAGACGTCAAACTTTCAGAAGGTAGTGGAAATGCTGCATAAACAACAGCCATAATAAAAAGCATAAGTTGAGGTTGGGGAAGTTCACAGTCCACCATTTGTTTCAACGAAGAAAACAACATGGAAATCTCTTGCCAACCACCACTATACAAAGAGCAGAGCTACCATGTTGTAACAATAAAGAATGAAGAGAGAAGGAGACTCACCTATTACCCGATGATTGAAGTAGTCAGGAAGCATCCTCTCACACACGGCAACAAGCAACCAAAAGGCCTCCTCTTCTTTGGCATATAGCAACAAAACAGAAGTCAATATATTCATGGACTGTTCGGAAGCAAAACAAAACAATTTACAGTAGTTGTAATGATTATTCAAAAATATTTAATAATCAGGATACCTTTTAGTTAAAAATATTAACACTTACCACAATTTAGTTGTAATGATTATTCAAAAATATTTAATAATCAGGATACCTTTTAGTTAAAAATATTAACACTTACAAAGTGACTAAATTTTTTATGCGCTGTACAGATACTGAAAGAAAAGACTGCCCCTATATGTAGACTGATAACATGGTACAAGAGGAAGAGGAAAGCAAACACTGGAGCTGCAAGTTTATTTCTGGCCAATGGATGGGGCTGATGGGCATTATGGTATTTCTGAAAGTGGTGTATGTGTCCTCACACGCATGCATATATGAGAATATACAGCCTTACAGAGGCTTTAGTCCCCTGTTCATTAGAATGCTCTCACCTTCTGAAATGGACTTTAACTCCCTGTATGAATTACTTCCTCTGGACATAATTTCAAATCTAGAATAACACTATCTGTGATGAGTGGCAGTTCATATAACTATGGAGATAAAATGAAACAAATAGCATAAATTTGTTCCAGAACCAAGGTCTCTTTCTGCTAGAAGGCTTCTGAAAAACCATTCATCGTACATGATATGCTTTACATACCCAAGATCCAGGTTTCACTCCTCTCATCTCCATTTTAACAGTTACAGGTAGTAGGCTAGGAAAGGTCTACTTCAGGCCTTTTATAAGAAGTAAGGGAATCATGGAAGATTGTAAAGGTTGGGTATGGGCATTGCCAGACTTGGTCATATTTAGAGTTATTAATGAGTTATTTATGACTAATGTAAATTCTGTTCATTTCAACTCCAAATATGACCAGGTCTGGATTCAACTCTGGAAACCTGGAGTTTGGCCAGTTGAATCCAAACCTTATTAACACCACGTACTTCTATTAAACTGGGGGGGGGGGAGAGGAACACAACCCAGATGAATACATTAAAACTCATTTACTTTAAGAAAATCAACTGGCATTTTCCACTGTGACCCAATTAAATCTCAAACAGAAACTGAATGTTTAATTTCAGAATGAAGCTCCATCTTTCTGAATTTCTCTTTATATCCTGAGGCACATGATTCTTGAACACCAGAGGGCGTTCATCTACTAATACAGTAATTAGTAACTAATTGAGGCAGACTGTAGAGTCGGACACGACTGGACTAAATATCAAGGGAAACCTTTATTGTAGCAGATCTTTACCTGGCAGTACCCAATTTTGGGATTTTTATGTGCATAAGCTGTCAACACTCTTCTCAAAGCAGCTATGCCTGTTTCACTTTGGAAGGCTGGGTGTTCAGGTAATGACCGATGCAAGTCACGTTCTATTTCCTCTGTTGCTATGCAAGACATGCCCATGGATACCTCCACTAAGTTCTCATAGTAACCAGGATGAGTATACAAATCTGTAGCAGCATCTAAAGCAGAAGGAAATGGAGAATGGATGAGCCGTTTCATATTCAAATCTAATGTGAAATAAACACTTTAATTATCAGAAGAATGTCTTTGGTGAAGCTGCTGCTGTCAATATTCATGAAACTAGGATTGTACATCTATAACAGAGTCCTAACCAAAGTTACACTGGAACATGTAACCACATATTTTAACAATGAAAATAAAACATGAGTCCGAAAACAGTACACCATCTTAACATTAATTCTGCATTGTAAAACATTTTAATTCAGGTATTTCTGTGCTAGTCCTTTGTTGTTGCCGTTTAGTCATTTAGTCGTGTCCGACTCTTCATGACCCCATGGACCAGAGCACGCCAAGCCTTACGGTCTTCCACTGCCTTGTGGAGTAGGGTCAAATTCATGTTGGTCGCTTCAATTACACTGTCCATCCATCTCGTGCTCTGTCATCCCCTTCCCCTCTTGCTTTCACATTTTCCCAACATCAGTCCTTTAGGATTTCCTATATTACTGGAGTGCAACTCCTAGTAGCTCTAGCCAAGATTACCAATGATGAGGAATCAAGGCAACTACAATCTGTAGCTGGAAAGCTAGCTGCCTACTCCTGATCTTTCTTTCTTTCTTTCTTTCTTTCTTTCTTTCTTTCTTTCTTTCTTTCTTTCTTTATTCATTCATTCATTCATTCATTCATTCATTCATCCCCCCCTCCCCGCCCATCTAGTCGATTGACTACTCTGGGCAGCTAAGACCAAATTCAGATGGAAGGATTTAATCATGCAAAGCAAGCAATGTATTTGCAGTACACAGATTGGTGGACAGAAAAAAAGGAAAGTAAACAGGAAGACTTGAATCTCTTGCTTCTGTTATCTGTGCCCACAGTGCAGTATCTCAGCAATACCTTTTGAATTAAATGCTTGCTATTGTGAGGTAAATATCCTGAATAATTACAAGGGAATACATGTTATGTACTTTCGAAAATATTTTTAAAAGTACTTATACTGTATGAGAAAAACAGCTCCATTTTAAGCGTCTATATTATACTAAGTAGTTAAAAGTTAATTCTCTGTCCACATCAGAGTTGGAAAACTACTATGTACCCATTTTCTCCACCCTTGGACCCCCCCCCCAGGGGCTGCATCAGCCGCCTCTGGAAAAAAGTAGAGGTGGACAAGACAAGCATGTAGGGATGCACCCTGTCTCCTTTACATCGACATCTTGCCACAGATACATCTGGAGGCATGATTCACCACACCTGGCTAATAAGATTTAAAAAAGAAAGAAGGGATTGGAGTCCATGACAGGTCTCTAGTAATTGTGATATAATTTTCATCCCTGATCTAGTAACTAGAAAAAAAGAATATTTTTCTTTCTATGTATTTTAATACCTTTAATCATCAGAGGGTTTTTTCCTATTCTAAGATGATGAAATGGTTCCATAAACTTGGCCATGTCCCTTTTCCCCTCCAAAATCACAGTACACAAAAATAGTAACTACTTCAGTGTGCCTCATTCTATAGTAGAACAACCAGAGTAGACTATCTGTCTAGATGGGGGGGGGGATAAATCTAATAAAATAATAAATAAATAAATATCCCAAGTTGTGTTTCTTTCAAAATGCTTGCAATGCTCTCACCTGAGAAAAGAAGCCACAGTTTGCCTCGTAAAGACTCTGGAATTCCCATAGCAACCAGTTTCCTAATTTTTTCTGTTCGAAACATACAGACAGTTCTGCCATACTCAGTAAAATGATCATTCCACAGACTTTCTTTGATTTGTTCCCTAGACTGAAAGCCAAGGTAAGTATGTTAATGCTATCATATTTATAGAATTCACAGTGCAATTAAATAGCCTGTTCTTTAAAAAAAACTGTTCGCTTACATTGACAGAATAAGGAAACACAAAAAGACTTTACAAGGCACTAGCAATTTTACATTTTGGTAAATATATACACAGTAGCAAATTTGTGTGTTATTCACAAAGCCTGAAGGCAAGTTGTTATTCAATTCAGGTTAGAAGGCATGAAAGAAGGCAATAAAGATAAATGAAATGTCTCCACCTTTCATTTAATTTAATACCTATGCTCTAATTTTTGTTCTAACAGGAAGTTCACAATGTTTCATACTAAGTACAGAAAAACCAATTTTAAAATTACCAAAATTACAAACAACATGCACAAAGGAAAACTAAAGCACTTCAAAGTCATGCCAAATACATGATGAGAAACGAATAAATGAATAAATAGGTGCCTCGAGACCCCACTCCAGATCAAAGTGCCAGCACAACGGCTGCAGCTGCCTCCACAGGTTTGGCTTGCGGGGAGGGGAGTAGCAATCCAGCGACGTACGGCTTGCGTGCCCACAGAAAGGGCTCTGCGTGCCAGCTGTGGCATGCGTTCCACAGGTTCGCCATCACTGCTATAGTGCTATTTACTATGCTAAGCAATAGAATTTTGGTCAGTATAAGATATCTTACTAACCAAACAATACCATAATAGCAACTGTAACAAAAATGGCAACCACAGTCTCTTAAGCCTGTTTCCTGCTTCACATTCTTGAGACATCATACTGAGAAGCAATTATGCTAAGTCATTTTTAGACACTGAGCTATTATCAAATTCTAAACATAAACATTAGATCCAAACTCATGTAACAGCTGGCAAAACCATTCTGACTACTTGATATCATAATGAAAAGTGGCCTTTGTTTAGAAATAGGATACATGCATGTCTTGGTGTATCACAGCATATTTTCCCCCCAACCGTCAGCATTTCCTGTACAGACAAGCAAAGAAAAGGACTGCAGAGAAATCAACCATGGAAGGCAAGAAATGAAGCAAGTAATATGAAAAAAGCCAGACAGCTCTTCAGTCCTTCATTCTTGAATATCCAAATATCATAGTATCAAAAATGTTTAATGTACCAACTTGGTGCTAGCTGCATGAGTTTCTGAATTCACAAATGCTTTTTAGATATGCTTCCCAAAGTTTCCCTGTAACTAAAAACATGGTTTTTACACACCATCCTAAAGTCTAGGCCATCCACTCCAGAAGGATGAAATGCTGAACTCAATGCTTCTGCATTCAGCTGGTGCTTGCTGTTCTTGTCATTTTCATTCCTGTTACTACTTTGTGAAGCTACGATGCCCAAGTCCCCAAATTCATAGTCCGCATGTGTTGTAAGGCAGCTCTGTCACACAGGAAAAACAAAACAAAAAACCAACAGAATGAATTTGAAAGCAGTATAGATCCAGTAACAATGAAAAATTATTAAAACATTTCACCAAGTAACTATATCTTGCCTGCATTAGAATAAGAAAAATTCAGAGTTAATTGAAAGCTCATAGATTTAAAAAAAAAAATCACACCAATGACTTCTACCCAATATACAAAGTAAACAGTAAGAATGTTCAAATCTTTTGCGTCTCTCTTTTGTAAACATGAATCAATTGTGTGTATCAGGTCTCTTTTGGCAACTGCCAAAAAAGAGGAAGTGATCCAAAACGGAGGTGTCATGCCCCTTTTCTCTGATACTGATGTCCAACCTCCCTTTGCTTTGTCACATAACTATTTAGGTAATGGTCTCTTTAAATCATCACCTGAAGGATGTTGAAAGAACATGAATTGGACAGAAAATAATCTCATTTCTATTCATCGTAAAGCACTGACACTTCTAATAGATTTATATCACCACTCGGACTTTCTTCTAGTTTAACAGCAATTAACCATATATGTTTCATATACACTTCGTATACCATTTCATACCATATCTTTGCTTTTCAAAGTACTACGGAGTGCTGGGTTGCTGGCCTTCACTTGTTTCAGTCGTAGGAGCAGATTCTCCACCAAAGTATCCCTGTCCTTCAGCTCAATGAACTGAAAGGCTGTTTTGCTTTTTATGCTAATAATAATGGGATTGGGAAGAAGGCTTGTGTCCTCCATCTTCTCGATACTAGCCACCTGTTAAAAGAAGTGTAGACAGTGCATTTATCCAGAACATTCAGAGAAATTCACTGGGGCTCATATGTCATCAGCATGAAACACAAAATGTGGTGCAGCAAACTCATGTGGTATCTTGGAGACTTAACAGGATTTATGTGGCATTCACTTTCATGGACTGCAGCTCATTTCATCATCAGTTGACTAACATTCCATGGAAACTTAGTCCAGATAAAACATGCTAGTCTTTAAGGCGCCACAAGACTCTTTGCTAGTCTTGCCTCAACAGATCAATATTCCCAGCTCTCACCCCCAAAAAGAGTACATCAGAGAAAGTAAACACATCCATGCCCTTTGTTAATAGGTCAGGAAATGAAGGAATTAGCACTAATCTGCAGGTGGCTTGACCTTAATTATGACAAATACCATGGTCTAGAACTGTATAAGCATCTATTTCTACACACTCATGGAGGTTTGGACACGTACTCTCCAAACACAGTCTTGTGGCTTAGTGGTTAAAACTGCTGTTCTGCAGCCAAAACTGTGCTCATGACCCAGGATTCAATCCTAGGTAGCTGGCTTGAGGTTCATTCAGCCTTCCAGCCTTCTGAGGTCAGTTAAATGAGTACCCAGCTCATTGGGTATACCACCCAGAGAGTGCTTTAAGCACTATGGGGCGGTATATAAGCATCCCACTTGTTTTGCTTTTTCATGTGACAGTACCTTCTGCTGCAAGACAAACCATTCTTGATAACCAGGTAAATTTGAAGAATAGTACAATATAGTGTGGGTTCTGCCATTCAACAGCCTATACTAGTGCCCTAACATTGCCGTTTGGATCTCAGCCCTTCTAATCATCACTTTGTACTCCATGGTAAGCAATCTCAAACAACTATCACCTTCTAGTACTATCCTCATAAACATTTTTTAATTGCACTTTAACGACATGTAGCCACTGAAAGGGTAGAAAAAACTTCATTGCAAGGAATGGGGCACTGGTTAAAGGATGTAAAGGGGCAACTAGTCTGAACTGAGGATTTCTACAGTGACATCTGGCAAAGACTGTAGCTAAGGAATTTGAAAAGCTGCACATTTCTGATTATTGCTCAATGAAAAGAAGAAAATTATTTTTCAACGTGTAAGCCCTGGCTGACAGTTAAGTACCATATAGCCATTGAACACTGCTTAACACATGTGTGGGATTAGCTGTTAAGTGGATTGGAACAAAGAAGGTAAAATTTTAATTAAGAGTCCCCACCGTAGTAATATGTAAAGCTGCATCGGGACCCTTCACAGTAATTACGGATTTTAAAACAAATAGCTAAAATGGGAAGACAAAAAGACTAACTTCTACAAGTGGAATAAGAACGTTACAACAGCCATCTTCTTTGCTGGCAAAACAGATGTAGCTGTCGGAAGTGAACATCTTTCCAACTGTATGACAGCGGCTAAAAGGAGTCCATAGGGAACAATCTATAACTTCATGCAGCTTCTCTTTCTTTGGTAGCCTGAAGAATGCTCTGAAGTATTCATTCTGTGCTCTGGACTCAAGATCCCTTTCAAAAGATATGGAAGAATGGCATTTGTTTTAAGAATGAAACTTGCACCAATGCGAGCTACCTTCTTATGAAACAACATTTATAAAGGCACAATAAGCAAAACATGAAACAACAAAAATCTTTTCTACCTAGAGTCATAACCAGACAGATCATACATAAAGTAAACCCACTAAAATTAAAGTTCCACAACTTTTACTGGGCTTCCTGAAAAATGACTGTCTGGGTCCAGCCCATAATTATAATGTGTTTGAGTCAACAGAAAAACAATTTTTAAAATCCAAATAGCACATTAAGTATTATTTTTAAATCTTTTTTTTTCAAGATATACTGAATAACACAGAAATAATCAATACAATTCTTAGCTACCCAACTGGGTCATTTGCTGGTAGTACAACTAAGGATGTACAGTATGTGATAAAAGTCACATTCAAGGGAGAACTCCCAGAACAAGGATCTGTACATCACAGTGCTAGGACTGGATAGAGGCTGAGTCACACAAGTACAGTGGCGCCTCACACAACGAGTGCCTCACACAACGAAAAGTATCTGATTCTGCTCCAGCTGCTGCACCTGCTTTTTAGTAGGTTCCTAAGAGTCATGAAAGCAGTTCCAAAAACATCAGGACCTGGAATTTTCAAAATGAAGGCTGCCTCATGCAATAGCCTCTAATGATATATATCATATAACAGGATGCCTCTATTCCATATTAGGCATAGGCATCCTTCAGTCTCGAGAGACTATGGTAACATGCTCTGAATCGAGGAGTGTCCTCTCCAGAGCATGAAGCCCGGGTAAGGTAATATGGAGGATAGGCTGTTACCCAAGCAGCAGATCCCCCCTCTCCACATTGCTGAAATGGTCCAATGGAAAGGCAAGAGCCAATACAACTGGTTCCAGCAATGAACGATGGCAATCCGTTCCAATTGGAACGGATTAACCGGTTTTCAATGCATTCCTATGAGAAATGGTGTTTCACAGAACGATGTTTCACACAACGTTGATTTTTTTGGAACCAATTAACATCGTTGTGTGAGGCACCACTGTATTTGATTCTGCTCTAGCAGCTGCACCTGCTTTTTAGTAGGTTCCTAAGAGTCATGAAAGCAGTTCCAAAAACATCAGGGCCTGGAATTTTCAAAATGAAGACTGCCTCATGCAATAGCCTCTCATGATATATATGATATAACAGGATGCCTCTATTCCATACTATGCAGTAAACTAACAAAGAATGTTTAATTGTAGTGAGATAGCAGAAGCTGGTGCTCTAATGACTGTCAAAAATTGCAAAAGAATATGTTTTCACTCTAACACATTCTTTGACTTCAATTCTTGATTCCAACAGAGATAAGCCAAGAGTGTCATGTACAGTGGTGCCCTGCTTGACGATTACCCACTCCACAACAAAATCACTTCACGATGAGGTTTTTGCGATCGCTATTGCAATAGCAAAATGATGATCGAATGGGGAAAATCCATTTTACGATGATCAGTTCCCTGCTTCGGGAACCGATTCTTCGCATTACGACTATCAAAAACCCGCCGGGTTTCAAAATGGCTGCCCGCTGTTTTCCGGACCTATTTCTGGAAAACAGTGACCAAAAATGGCTTCCCCTATGGAGGATCTTCGCTGGACGATGAGGTATTTTGCCCATTGGAATGCATTGAACCAGTTTTCAATGCATTTTGATGGGTTTTTTCTTTCGCTTCATGATGATATCGCTTAACAGTGATTTTAACGGAACGGATTATCGTCGTCAAGCGGGGCACCACTGTATATATGTAAAATTTAGAAATATCAAGAACATTTTTAGTCAAGAACAATATGGCTAAAGGTTATGTAGCAGAGCACGCTTTAAAGGTGATCCAAGCATATTCCTTTTCAAATGACACAGATATAAAGGCAGCCCTGAAAGTGTACAGAATTGTTTTTCCCCTGTGAATGCAGTGCTCTCAATTACACAGAGCTTGTAACCACATTCATGTTTGAACACGGGTACATCCCTTTTTCAGACCACAGCACACATTCCTGGCTCTCTTTAGAGGATTTTAAACTAGAACTTTACAGTGTGGCTGGAATAACTCCATGAAAACAATGCACAAATAAGACGTAAATGTAGAATTTTCACTTTCGACTATTTCAAGGATTCCAGAACGAGAAAAACCTGTATCATGTGCAATGTATGCTGATCACTATTGACTCAAGTGGCAAATTCTGAGGGATCCTGGCCTGTTAAAAACAAGCTGCATGCTGGTGTCTTGACTCCTCCTGCTAGCCTGAGCAGCTAAACAAAAAATATTTTGGAACTCAATCTCAGAACCCTGGCTTCTAGTTCTCTAAACTAAGAAGAAATCTTAGTAATCCAAGAGTGGGAAATCTTTTTCACACAAGCTGTTTGGACCGATAATCTCACAATCCCCATCCAACATGACCCAAGGTAAGGAATTGTAGCACTGCTGTCCAAAGCATATGGAGAGAAAAATCACTGTTTCCTGACCATTGGTCATGTTTCTTTGTAAAAGATACAAGCCAAAATCACAGGCTGAGATGACATAATAAACACTGAGTTTCTGGTTTGGTTAGCCACCTGTGCTAACAGAAGGAGGCAAGCAGAAGCGAACCAGAAGAAGTGGTACTGATGTGAAGTTTACTCATGATTTCACAGAAACCTGGCTTACCATTAAATGCAAATCCAGATAAAAGGTCTTTTAACTCCAAGTGACATGCAGGTCTCAGGATTAAACTGAGTTGACAGTAACAGCCAAGTTTTATTAGTGTGTCTGCCCATATCAAAACTGAAGATGGAACGAGGAGAAAGCTGTTGTGTTTTTTTTACATCTAAAGAAAGCCGGGTATAAGAAGATGAAGCCACACTTCAGACTTACCAACCAAGCTCAGCCAAGATATTTTTCTCTCAGTCCAGCTCCAATATTGTGAGTGAAGCAGACTGAGGAGAAGAATATTTGAAGTAATAAAATATAGGAATGTAAGATTGGGGGAAGGTCATCTTTGAGGATTCATGTGCCACTTTGATGCACAAAATACCATTCACTTTTTATGTCAAACAATGAGATAGTAAACAGTTTTTGCCACATCTTGTTCAACACTTCACAGCAGTATTAACATATATCTTGGATTTTATTACTAAGATTGCAGCTTGCATAACTGAAAGCATCCCTATGTAAAAAAATTTAGTCTGCAGAGAAAATATTACACATATGATTAGAATAGAATATTTCTCCTTAACAACCAGTGTTTAACAACAGCTACAACAATATTATGCCAACAAGGAGATTCCAGTGGACGGTGACCCTTCTCAGGGTTTCCTAAGTACAAAGCACTCAAAAAATATTTTACCAATTCCCTTTTTCTGGTGGTGCTCAGGGACTGTGCAGCTTGCCCAAGGCTACATAGGTGCACAGAGGGGAATCTTCTAGTGTGCAGAGTGGGGAATCTAACTCCTAACCCCTACTCCAACTCAGTGAGCTTCCTGTAAATTAGAAAAGTATTCAGTCATGAATGGAAAAGTGTCATATGAAGTCATATGATCTGGAAACGAGATTATTAATTTACTGGAATTTAAAGCTATTTCAAACCATGGTAATTACAACAATAGGGATTTTCTGAATGTTAACAGTTCTCAGTCATTATAATCCATTATCCTACCAGCTAATTAACACTGTGAGGAATAAATACATTATATGGGAGGCCTGAACTCATATCTTACCTAGGAAATTTACTGCTAAATAGGTTTGTATAAATCACATTCATTTGCCCATTAATAAAACAGAAAAGGCACCCGTTACATCATGGGGTTCAACACTTATATGTGTAAAGTTAGTGTGACAATTTTGCCTTGTAAAAATACTATGGATATAGATTTGTATCTGTATGCACAGTAAGTGACTGTGGTCTGATTGATAGTTGTAGGTTTGATGTGTGCCCAGAGACAGTTAAAGTAGCTGAGAGGTGTGGAAGCATGTTTACAACTAGGAATGTGAGCTAATTTGTTGGTTTGGTTCCTGACTGTTTTGTATTTAAGGGTGTGTGAGAGACAGCAGGAACCTAAGAGAAAAAGATGTGAGAGAAAGAGGAAGAGTTGAGGATGGTCTGTTTTTGTCACGAAACTTTTTAAAAAGTGTGTATTGTCACCGGAACTTGTGTCAAAGCAATCACTCTTCTCTTTCTACACACACACACACACACACGTATATATGTATGTAAATTATATACATACATAGAAAAGGCTTTTGCCTGTATGAGAAATTATTTGACAACTTGTAATATTGAATCTTTCTATTCTTTTAGGTTTTTAGGGTTTATTATTTTTGAAGACAGCAGTCACAAGACACTGTACCCACAGGTACCGCTGGACAGTGCTGGGACACATAGTTTATTCAGAGTTGCCAAAGTAATTAATGCTGTATGTTTCACCAGAGGTGTTCTTACCTCTTTTTAAAGGGTAGGGTAAAGTCCGTCCTTAGCTATGACAGTGTTTGAAGAGCACTGTAAAAAGGAATAGTTTGTGTCTGTGGTGATTCTGGAGGAATCCCTGCTATAGGTCAAATAGCAACCCCAAACGTAGTGAAGGGGTTCAGAGCGGTGGTTGTTTTGGTGGCAGCACAGTTGAGTAGACAAGGGTTGTAAGCACCACAGGGTAGACGTCCTACAAAAAGCTCTCATATCTCTGGAATATTCCGAAGGAGATTCAGTGAAGGCAAAGAACCATGGCTGATGTACAGAGACTATCAAGAATAGTTTATGATAAGAAAAACACAAAACACGGCAGTGTGCTGAGTCAAAAACTAGGAGATTCTCCAGAAAGGCAAAGTACTAAACAGCAAAAAGAAATATGCTTTGTTTCATAAAAACATAAAGTGAGATATTATATCACAAGGCATTACTCAGTTTCTACAATATTCTCTTTTAGAATGTCTGACAGATATCTGACTTATTCAGATCTGTTTTTGCTATTTATTCCTTGCCTTTTCTTAGATATGCTTCTTTTTTAAAACAAACAAGATTTTTTAAAAAGACTCAGTAGTACTAAAAAGGAAATACTACATACTTAATGGTGGCCCTCTTCAAAACATACAGACACACTTTTACTATTTACCTCTTTGTGATCTGAGTAGGATCCTGTAGACCTGGATCCAGTTCAAAGATCTCATTATCTAGTAGCCTGCGAAGAGTTACATCTGCCAGCTGTTCCATTATCCTGAACGCCTCATCAATATTAAGGAACATGGAGAAATCACGTTCTTTACTTTGAGTGGTGATGCGGATAATGTCAGTCATAAAGATATTGGAGGTTCTTTCTAACTTCTGGACATCAACCCAGGGAATGATAAGTTTTACTGATATTACAGAAAGAGAAAAAGACTGGTTCAGAAAATAGCAAAATCTAGTATTTATACCACAGAGACTTATACGGAAATAAATCCTACAAAATTCAAAGATTTAATGGCAAACAGATGCACATAAGATGGCACAAAGCAAAAATATATGTATTACATTTTGTTATCATTACACTTCATTTTAATGGTTAATAAGTCAAATAATACTTGACACTGTCAAAGCCTATGTTTCATTTCAGCTGCTTCACTATACGAGAGTGAGATTATGCAATCGTGTTTACTTGGCAAAGAAGTTAAGGTAAAAGAGGAGCATACAAATAATGCTACCCCAGGAAAGCTACTGAACATTGAAGCCCTGAAGGAAGAGTTTAACCTTTGTTTTTACAGCTAGCTGCCATGGAATTGCGTTGAAGTGCAGTAAAATCAATTCTATTTCTGGATATGTCAAATTAGGAATAGGTTAACAGTGTAAATGGCCACAAACAGCTGTTCAGATGAATTACAAAACAGCATATTATTTTATACTTTGATACATAACTAAAATATCTCCAAAGACTAACTATACTTCTGTCAACAACTACTGACATATTGATTTGCTTCTAGCAGATTTAATTAAGGAAACCAGAAGAAATTAAAATCACATGAACCCCTGTAATCACAAGGCCTGAGCTTTGTAACAAGTAATATCCTGCAGCCAGAGAACTGATATAATGAACACTTTGTTGATAGTCTGTGCAGAATTGTCATAAGATAAAACCAGATTCAATCAGATAAATTTAGCTATAACCATAATGGTTTCAAAGCATGTCCAATATTCTTTCATGAACTTAAAAACTCGTGGGATATAGTTAAAGGGGCTTGATAAAATTAGTTTCTGGATCAAGGTTCAGAAAAAAAATGAAGCACGGCTGTATCAGGCATTAGTTTTTAGCAGTTTGGAAAATAAATGTACAGTAGGAGCAAGTGAAATTCATTTTTATATGTTTGTACTTACATTCCTTGCCCAGAAAGAAAGAATAGAAACAGAGATGATTGATGCTCAGGTAAAGCCATCCCTGTCGAGGAACTTTGCCTTTCCAGCAGCAACAGGAGTAGAAGGTGATCAGTTTCTCTGCTTCAGGGAAGTTAAATCTGGTCTCAAATTTGACTAGCGCTTCTCTGAACTTGTCAGGATCATCCTCCTGTTCTGCGAGCTTACTGCTGGTCTCTTCTGCTATTAATGCCTTCATCAAAAAATAAATTAATGCATGGAAGAACCTGAAGTGTCCATATGCTACTTATTAATTAATTACACAAAACCAAATTATTTACAAGACTAGTTATTCAGCAGGTATTAACATGACACACTAACACCACTGATGGCCCCACTTAATCACTGGGTATGTCAAGACTGGCCATTCTGGCTGGTTCATTTGGTGAGTTATAGTTGGAAAAAAAGTCCTCTTACTGAAATGTGCAAGGCCAGGAAACATGAAACATTGCATAAATACCACTGATTTCCCAAACTACAATTATTTTTCCATTTATAAAACACCTCCATTTATAAGACACCGTCACATACTTTTCTAACCCCAAAATTAAGAAAACTTAACTTTCAGTATTCAGCCTCTGGGCTCAGAATGCTCGGACATTTTGAGTTCCTGTTGCATCTGAGCCTACAAGCTCCACCTCCAACAAGGTGTGTTCCAATTGGTTTGTTCAGCATCACCTGAGGTCAGTTCCATAAGACTTGTGATTGGAGGAAGCTAAGTCTCCTGACTGTAGGAAGCTAAGCCTCATGATTGGAGGCAGCCTGTTCACAAGACAAATTATGTGCTGTTTTATTCTCTCCTCACCTATCTCAGCTTACTTCTGTGTAAAATATGCCCCTCAATTTTTAGTGTAATGATTTTAGGAAAAAGCAGTGTATTATACATGGAAAAATATGGTAATTAACTGGACAGGTTTTATCTTAATGGAGTGGATGGCAGTGCAAACAGAGTACTGAGGTGCAGGGGAATGGGTAGGCTTGTGAGTTTTATTAACTTGAGGAAAGCTGGGTACATTTACTAAAAAGTAATAAATCTTTGATAGCTCTATAATATTTTAAAGTATTTGGCTTGTTTCTGGGCACAATTTAAAGTGCTTCTTCTAACCTATACAGGTAAAGCCCTGAATGGCTTGAGTCCAAGCTATCTCATGGACAACATCTCCAATCATCATCGAACTGCTGAGCTAGATGGGACCCTGTAGCTCAACAAGTCCAGTCCTTGTCAATGAGGCACTGTGGGGAACAGAACTCCCAATCTTTCAGCCAGCTCGAGTGTTAAGATCATCCTGAGTGGCTTTTCTCTCAGTCCTACAAGGGCATTTGGTGGGGCCAAATTGGAGTGACTCACCATATAGCAATCAGATAATTGGAAGGAAAGAAAGAAGGAAAGAAAGAATTCTGGCTTCGGTTAATTCTGAAAACAAACTACAACATTCGAGGTCATCAGCACATATGCTGCATTAATTCCACAATTCTTCTATACTTCTCAAAATCCTGGGTCACACAACTGAGCATCAATTGCAGTCTCAATTTACTAACAAACCAAGTGGATGAAAATCAACAAAGGTAGGTACTGGTAGCAGATAATTTTTCTATTTCGTGCAGGTATGCCTTTTTTTTTACAGATGAACCCTACAGCCAAGTGATTCACAGACAGAAATTTAGTTTTTCAGATTCTAGAACAATGTTTCCACAGATGTTGTAGGACATTAACTTCCAGGAGCCCCCGTCGGTATAATCAATGGTTACAGAGACTTGTAGTTTGACAATACAGTGGTGCCCCGCTTAGCGATGTTAATCTGTTCCGGAAAAAATGTCGCTAAGTGATTTAATCGCTAAGCGATTTTTAAAAGCCCATAGAAACTCATTAAACCGCGTTTAATGCATTCCTATGGGCTTAAAAACTCACCTTATGCGAAAATCCTCGATAGGGGCGGCCATTTTTGGTGCCTCTAAAGCGAGGCAACACAGCAGGTGGCCATTTTGGAACTGCCAATCAGCTGTGCGAAAATGGGACCTTTGGGATGATCGCGGGGGGAGCGCTTCCCCGCGATCATCCCCAAGGCCCCGCCGATCAGCTGTGCTTCGGCTCTCTCTCTCTCTCCACCCCTCACAGCTCCAGCCTCGGCAGGGAGACTGAGGCACCGCCGCCGCCATCCGGGCCGAGAAAGCTGCGAGGGGGGAGAGAGAGAGCCGAAGCACAGCTGATCGGCGGGGCCTTGGGGATGATCGCGGGGAAGCGCTCCCCCGCAATCATCCCAAAGGCCCCATTTTTGCACAGCTGATTGGCGGGGCCTTTGGGATGATCGCGGGGAAGCGCTCCCCCGCAATCATCCCAAAGGCCCCATTTTTGCACAGCTGATTGGCGGGGCCTTTGGGATGATCGCGGGGAAGCGCTCCCCCGCAATCATCCCAAAGGCCCCATTTTTGCACAGCTGATTGGCGGGGCCTTTGGGATGATCGCGGGGAAGCGCTTCCCCGCGATCATCATAAAGTGAATTTTCCCAATAGGGGCCATCGCAAAGCGATCGCTCTTGCGATGGCAAAAAGTCAATCGCAAAGCGGTTTCATCGTAAAATGGAGTGATCGCTATGCAAGGCACCACTGTACCATGTTTCCCTGAAAATGCGAGAGGGCCTTATATTAATTTTTGCTCCAAAAACACATTAGGGCTGATTTTCAGGGGATGTTTTATTTTTTTTCAAGTACAACAATCTACATTTATTCAAATACAGTCATGTCATCTTCTGGTTGCTGCACAATGGTGGAGGGTGGGGTTTCAGCAAACTTGGGCTTATTTTCAGGGTAGGGCTTATATTACGAACTTCCTCAAAAATCATACTAGGGCTTATTTTCAGGTTAGGTCTTGTTTTCGGGGAAACAGGGTAATAAAAACATTTTCCTACCTTTATTTTACCTCTGACAAAACTAACAATATCTTCTTTATTATCAAATACAGACAAAGTGTGGAGTAAGTTTTGTTCCAACCACTCCCAGTGTTGGTTTATCTCCTCTGTTGTGGCACCTAGCACAAGAAAGGCAGAAGGGATAACTGAACTACTGTATAAGGGGAATGACTCAAATTCAGAAAGAGAAATTCAACAATTAAAATTGCATATGGAACAAGCAGATTACGTTTAAATCAAACAATGTGTAGTAACACACAAACTTGAAACAACATACAAATAACACACTGATGGATAGCTCAGTAGCTTAGGTATAGTTGGGAGTTTGATTCCCGACTGTGTGTCCTGCAAATAGAACCAGCCTGTGTGGCCTTGGACAAGCTATGCAATTCCCAGAAAAAGGGAATGGTAAACTACCTCTCTACCTGGAAAACCCTGAAAAGGATTGCCATAAGTCAGAATTGACTTGACAACACATGATTATTATTAATATTTATCTGTTTTGGTATTTCTAGTTTGAAGTCTACACTTCTGTAGATTTTACTGCCATTTAAGTCAAAGACAGTAAGAAAAAAGAAGCTGTTCTGTTACTGTAATATTCTATAGGAAAGCTCAAGTGCTGACTCATTCACACGATTTACACAACATTAAGGGCATGTACCGTATTTTTCTGTGTATAAGATGCCCCCATGTATAAGACGCCCCCCCCACTTTTCTAATCCAAAATTAAGAAATCTAAGTGGGCCTTAGAAAGGGTGGGGGGAAAGGGATTAAAGCGCTACAGGATAGCTTTGATCCCTGCTTTCCCCTCCACTTGTTTTTGTTCTCTCCTCAGCTTACTTCCATGTATAAGACGACCCTCAATTTTTATTCTAAATATTTTAGACAAAAGTATAGTCTTATACATGGAAAAATGTGGTATTTCCTAGAACTTCAAAATGTTACGCTTCCGAACACATTTCTCAGGATCAATATAGCTACTGTCCATGCTGACCATGGGATTCTGAGAACTGCTAAACTTGCCTGATACTAGAGGTGCACATATTTGTGTTTTTAGACCAAGTCCCAGAATTCCCCACTTTGAGAATTGTAGCCCAAATAACCACAAATATGCACATCTTTATCTGAGATTTTACTGCCATCCTATAACTTCTGTGACATCATCATCTGCGGTTGGGCTGTAGTTGTTTTGGAGTCCTTCTCAATTGCCGAGAGGGCAGTTTTTGCATCGAGCTACATATATAGTACACACAGAAGCTTGTGCTATTCCTTTAGTCTTAATGGTAGCACATATCTCATTCTGCTACTTTAGACTAACATGGTTACTTCTGTGTAAATTGTTGTATGTGCAGATAGTCCTCACATAAACACTATCAGATGTTGGGTATTTGATAATGAAACAAAGAAAAGAATCCCAGGATAAATGGGAGACTCCTTTATACAGTGGGGTAACGAAAAATGTAGCACTCGAATTAGTGGTTAGCACACAGCCAGTTAAAAAAGAAAGGGATTTTGGATCAGTATCTTTGGGTAAATAAATCCAAGGTGAGATTGTTGATTTAAAATAAACCCTGATTCGTTGCCACTGGAAATTCTTAGTTCATGCCATGTCACGTACACAAGCCCTATGCTGCTTTAGCAAAGAGCACCAAAGCAGCAGCTCTTCATCAATACAAGGAAACATTATAGTTATCATACTGGAGCACATGGCAAGATGCAAGCGAAGCCAAGTTCCAGTGAGGAAGAAAAGGTATGCCAGCCCAGGACAACAGTGAAGGAAATATAACAATTAACTCAGCTGGACCTCTGGAAAAGAACGAAACATCCTTGTGGTATTTTACCAGAAGTTACAGCAGAAGAAGAAAACAACAGAATACAGAAGGAGGTTGAGTGTGGTAAACAAGAGTCAAATCACAGAATCATAACCATTAAAATTAATGAACTTTGCTTCATGCAACTGAATGTAACTGAGGTGATAAAGAGGGCAAATACACGCACACACTTTCTTCCACTGTGTTTCCCAGTGAGAATGTCAATTACCAGGGAAACCTGCCAGAGTTAGCTTCCTCAACAGGAAGGGCCTGTGAAGGATCTTGATAAACACTATTAATCAAGATATATCCTGCTGAAACACAGGCACGTAAGTAAAATGGCCTTTCCCCCACTGGCAGAATGGTAAAACTGAGTAGCACTAAACTACCAAAAACAAAACCAAACCACCACCCTGCTGTTTCTCACATACGACCCCATTTCATAAAAAAAAACTCTTGCGTTTCTCAAAAGTGCAAGGACTGAAGCAGAAACACAATCTTCCTATAGAAGTATTTGTCAGTGACACTATAACTTCTTAATGAGGGAAAGAACAAGCTGGTATGGTGATTTTGAATCAGAAGGGGGAACAATAAGTGTGACTGATACTGCTTTAAGCTCAAGATAACCTTACTGGCATAAGTGTTTAACAGGCCTGAAAAAAAATAATATTTCCCTTTTTAATTTACATATTTAGTGTTAATTAAAAATTAATATTCTTTTCATTATGAGGTGAAAATGATGGATTATAAATCTGAATTTAGACAAATTAAGAATTTACGCCTCTCTGAAGAACAATGGCCCAAATCCTGCTGCATAGCTACACTAGTGCAATTTGAAGTTGCATAAACCTCTGTAAAATTTGAACCATGGTGGAAGATGTATCTAAGAAACAGTTCTATGGTGCAGTTGCACTATCAAAGATGCATATTTCTTGGCATAACTCACTGTGAACTTCTGTAGACATAATTTTGTGCTACTCCAACAGTAATATGAATTCAGTTTCTATAAAGGTGCATAAAAGTGGTCTGAAACACTCAAACTGCTTCTCATTTTCATTATGAACAGTCACTTCAGCTACTTCTCTTTTATCAAACGTATTTTCAACTTGTTCTTCTTTCTCTTCAATTCACTTTCACATGCATTTTTTAAAATCAACCTGCCCAATGCATCATTTGCTTTCTCCCAATATTTTAATGTAAAAAACAAAACAAAACTTGGGGTATAATACATGCAATGTTCTACATGCAGTACAGCATTTATGACTGTGAAATGTAAATAAAGTGACAACTAAATTCTGACATCTTAATTTTCACTACATGTTCCTAAATATTACATAAAATCAGAGACAAGGATCCTTTCTAGCTTACCAGAATATTTGACATTTTAAAGGGAAACTCAGTGGCTTCTACACCTTCATCTTTGACCGTTGCATATCTAAATCAAGCACAAAACCGTACCAAGTGCAGGAAAGATCCTAGGGGTATTGAAAATGTAAAGCTACACTGCCAGTACATTTGTGTCTCTAGTCACCTGCAGTAAATCCAAGAAACAATCTCAGTGCTTTTGTCCTTCACTTTTCACAAGAAGGTCAAAGAAGCAGTACGAAAAAATTGATTCCCTTGGTTGAGAGGAACCATCCACCTGTTGTTTTCCTGACTGCTATTATTAAGCCCAGAAAACCAATTCAGTGCTGCTAGGGCGAGTATGCCGCGACAAACATATTTCAATAATTCATGTTTCCTCTCCACACTATCTTGTAAGAGTCTGATCAATACAGCATTGATGCTATAAGTATTAATTATCATCTCACTAGTTAGATGAAAGTTACTTATTTTATGGCATCCTTCTCTAATTAAAACAAAACAAAACCCCAAACTCTGACTTTTAAGCCCCAGTGAAGGTTGGCAAGGAGAATGAGTTGGGAAAAAACAAAAGAAATCAACATGAGGGAACATGGGTAGTTGCCCCACGGCAAAGAAACTGCAACAGAATAGCCTGCCCAAAGCAAGGAAATAATTGTAACATTATACATAACCAAAACAACCAAAACATTATACGTAAAGAGAATCAAGTGATTTCTACAAAAAAAAATTTTTGAAGCACAACTCTGCTATTTCCATTTGTATTATTTTTTCAGACTGAACACTGCAGTTCTGAAAACCAAGAAGTTTCTAAAACACTGCAAGAGAATCTTAAGAACAGGGTCTGCATAGCTGCTGTGCAGCATGTCCAACCAAATTACAGTTCCTTCGACTTCAATCTGGTATGTTTTCAAGATATGCTAAGGAGCTGTGGACATAGAGGGGTTTAGGATGCTTTTAAAGCAGAGATGATATAGCCTTCAAAAATAACTTCCACTCAAAAAAATTGACAAACTATGATCCTCTAAAGCAGGGGTCTCCAACCTTTTCAACCCCGCAGACTGGCTAGTGAGGAGCACACATGCTTGTGCGAAAGAGTGGGAGGGTGCTTGCATGGGCACTCGCTCACGCGCATGCACAAATGGCAGCATGGCACTCAGGGCCAGCACACTCTCTCTCGTGCACATGCGCAAAGGGGTGGAATGCTTGCACACGCACTGGCAGATAGGCACAAAGCAGCTGTGCAGGGGTGAGTATTGCGGGGGGAGGAAGGTTTGTCTCTGCGGCCTGGTCCAGCTCAGGCTCAGGCCACAGACTGGCACAGGGCCATGGACTGAGGGTTGGTATCTCTGCTCTAGAGTAGTGGTCCCCAACCTTTTTAACACTGTGAACAGTTGGAGAAGGCTCACGTGCATGCGCGAAGGGGCTGGCGTGTGCTTGCATGTGTGTGTGCACACTCGCACACATACACGAAGGAGTGGGGGCTCACATGCATGTGCAAAGGGTGCTGGCGGTACAGTCGCACACATGCATGAAGGGATGGGGGGCACTTGCGTGCATGCGCAAAGGGGCTGTGCGGGGGGAGTGCGTGTGTGGGGGAGATCTGTCTCCGTGGCCCAGTCCGGCCCAGGCCACAGACAGCACTGGGCAACAGACTGGGGGTTGGGGACCCCTGCTCTAGAGCTGTTGAAGGAGTAATGCTGCTATAATATATCAGTTGCAGAATGGTATACCGAATTTCCCTGCAAGAGGGGAAGGAGTTGAATGTTTAAGTAAGTCATAATAAAAGCTATTTTCCAGCACATTCTACCTATTACAAAAATTTATAAGATTACAGGTGATGTGTATATTGTGCATTGCAGTGGAAATGTGTGGTTGTGCTGCTCACATATGAATGCCCTGGGCACTTCTAATGTTGAGTCAAAAGGCCTTTATAATAGCCATACTCAAAAATATTATATATTGCAGCTGTTAAATAAGCCAATATCCACACAGCAATGCTAGTCATCCAGGTTACCTTCAATCTCTTTGACATGCAGACCACAGCATGCTCAGACTTTAACTTTTGTGTGCTATACAACTCACCAATGGCTATGGCCCAGTAAACTTCTGATCCATTCAATAACTCACCACATGCTATGGCAGAGTAAGTAGGCGATCCAGGCACTTGAAGCAAAATACGAAATGGAGCAACACGAGCATTTGAATCAAGCACAGCATCAAGAGCACCAACTAGACGACCTGAATGAATAAAAATACAACAGAGAAAAAGCTTGCATTTTTGAAACAGATAATTTGATTTCGACGTAAGCCTCCCAAAGAACAATTACAGTGGTGCCCCGTTTGACAAAGAAATCACTTGACGACGAGTTGGTTCCTATGCAGTTTTTTCACTTTACAATGGTTCCTATGGGTTTTTTTCACTTTACGATGATTAGGACCCTGTTTCGCAAACCGATTGTTCACAAGACGATGATTAAAAACAGCTGATCGGCAGTTCACAGAATGGCTCCCAGCTGTTTTCTGCAGCTATTTCCGCAAGACAGGGATCGCAAATGGCTGCCCTATGAAGGATCTTCGCTGCACGAGCAGGTATTCAATGCATTCTACTGGACTTCTTTTTTCACTTGATAACGATTTCGCTTAACAGCGATTTTCCTGGAACGGATTATCGCTGTCAAGCGGGGCACCACTGTACACTGGTGATCCTGCAAAACTGGCTTACATAACAGAAATATGGAAAGACACAAAGGCCCGATATCAGGTGAACGAAAAAGACCAGATTTGCATTCAACTTACCTGATTTTTGTCAGTCTGCAGTGTTACCTTCGAACCTAAGTTTATCCAGATTTGATAAAAGTCTGGAATCAGTGACATTAGTCAGAACACTCAAGCCTCTTATCCATTTATATATTTTGAATCCTTATTTTCTTTCAACAATTGATCTTTCTTAACCATGTTCAATAAAGCCATTGATGGGAACATTTGAATATTTAATCCAGTTATTTCCTTAATTTCTTTAAAAATTGCTTCCATTCTTTCTTTCTTCACATAACCATCACATATGTAAATATGACCCCTTCTCTTTTTTACACCTCCAACATAGTGATGATACATTTTTATTTATTATATTCAGTTTTACTGCCATTAAATACCACCTCCATATTACCTTTTAACAGTTTTCCTTTATCCTTACAGGCATGTTTTTCATAATTCTTTGATCCCACATTTAATCCCATTCTTCTCCTACTATTTCTTTATCCAAATTATGTTGCCACTGTGGTTTTAATGCTTGCATATCCTGTTTGGCCTGAATCAATGGTCAACATATTTGACTTACAGTTTCCTTTCTTTCTGTCTTTTCCTCTAATTTCAGTCTTTTTTCAATAATCTCTTCAAAATTTGTCATTTTTCTACTTTTCCCTTCCTGACTTTTGTATTCCCTTGTTCACCTTTCTATTTGAATCGTGTTAAAATCTCTTTTACATTTCTTTTATCTTTCATCTTCTCCATCCAATCTTTTATCCTATTTATCCCTTTATCTTTTAATATATTATTTTTTTAAAAAGATTTTCTGGAAAATTCTTTAAATCCACAACCTGGGATAAGGGAGAAGTTGGTGGGCTCAATACACCCCTAAACTTTTTCCAATTTTCTAACAAAAGTTTAAGGAAATGGTTAGCAATCTTTTTAATCTCTTCTCCAATCTTTTCTTTAAACAATTTAGAGTCGGCATCCTTCAGTCTCGAGAGACTATGGTAACGTGCCCTGTATGGAGGACTTGGAACAGCGTCTAGTGTGGCTGAGAAGGCCAATTCGAGAGTGACAATCCCTTCCACACTGAAGACAAATACAATCTGTCCCCTGTCCAGCTCCCTGATTTTGCTTCTATGCCACATATACAACTGAAAGTACAGTGGGGTCTTGACTTAAGAACGGCTCGAGTTAAGAACATTTTGACTTAAGAACCGCTCTCATAGGAAAATATTGACTTGACTTAAGTACTTAGATTTGAGTTAAGAACTAAAAAAAACCACGTGGGAGGCAGGGAAAGTGCAAAATGTGAACTTTCAGTTAACTGTTGGCCAGTGAAAAGGGTGCCTGTCTGCTTCCTCACTCCTCCCAGCGTTTAGAGAGTGGATTGGGAGACAGTCTTCGGACTGCCTGGTACTGTCCTGCCTGGACTGTATTTTCCCTGCCTTCCCTGAACCTTTCTTGACGTAAGAAAAAAAGAAACAAAATATCCCCCTCTAGTGGTCGAAGGCGGAATAGCAGCTTCCCATTAGTTTCTATGGACGGAAAAGAGCAGATACGGATCAAATGGTTTTCAATGCATTCCTATGGAAATGCAGATTTGACTTGAGAACTTTTTGACTTGAGAACCGCCTTCCAATACGGATTAAGTTCTCAAGTCAAGACCCCACTGTATATTGTTTAAAGTACATTTAAACAATATACAGTGGTGCCCCGCATACCGTCGCTATGGGGAAACATCACTAAACGGGACACAAAATGCCATTGGAACGCATTAAACTTAGTTTAATGCGTTCAAATGGCTTCTGTACTCACCGTTTAGCGAAGTTTCCCCCATCCGGCAGCCATTTTCGTGCACTCGGTAAGCGAGGGCAGGGCACGAAAACACTGCGCGTGGCCATTTTGGGTCACGCGGCGGCCATTTTGGAGCCACCAATCAGCTGATTTCCCGACATCGCAATGCGAAGATCGGTAAGTGAAACACTTACCGATCTTCGCAATACGAGTTTTGCCCATTGGGGCTGCCAGTATGCCTTCGCATTAGCGAACCCAAAAAAGGGATCGCTATGCGAATTCGTCGGTGTACGGTGCGTTCGTTATGCGAGGCACCACTGTACTTTCAATTCTTTCTTCCTTACTATTCCTTACTAATCCTTTCTATTTCTATCCAAATTGATTTTTTAAAAATTTTAATAATATCTGGAATGTGTCTCAGCTGATTTCCTATATTACTGTATATAATTTTAAATTGGGTAATCCAAGACCTCCATTTTTTGTGTTACGTACCAGTTTCTTATTAATCCTCACTCGTTTATATCCATTACAGTAAGAATTTGTCATTATCTGCCATTCTTTCAACTGTTTTTATGTAATCTTTATAGGAATCATCCAAAATATAAAGACATATAACAATAAAAGCAAATAATAATTGAAAGAGAAAAGAGTAAGAACAGAACAAATCAGTAAAACTGCATAAAACAAACACACGAAGAGCAGGAGCAAGTCAGATGGGCAAGACAAATTTGACAGGTTCATTACAAGATGTCATAAAAAACTTATTGAAAAGCACCACTTTAAACATCTTCTTGAAGGGAGGGAGGTAGCCTGCTCCCAAGGGCAAGTGCCACCATTGAGAAGACACAATTTCTGATGGATGTCTCTCTGGTCTCCCTCTGTGCGGCAACCCATAAAAGCATTGCCTGCTAAGATCTGGCACCATAGCTCAATGTTTTTGGGAAATGTGTTCTGACAAGTAATGAGAGCCCAAACAGTGAAGGGTTTTATAGATAAAAACTAAAACCTGGAACCTGCAACCTCACAGATAGTGTTACATGTCATGAGTATACTGATGGCAACACAAAACCTGGAACCTGCAACCTCACAGGTAGTGTTACATGTCATGAGCATACTGATGGCAACACACTCCAAATCTCCAGATGACCTGTCCCAGCAGCTTTACATAGGTATTAAATAGCACTGGGAAGATTGATGACCCCTGGAGCACCCACCCCACAACTGAGGATCCAAGGGGGCTGATGATCCCTAAGCTGCACTCTCTGGACAAGACCATCAAGGAAG